ACTATGATGTCCCTCACAGCCTTTCAGCTGCTTTTTGGGGAATGCAAATGAGACGTGGCAATATATGCAAATACTAACATACACATGGTCATAGGCTTTTTGACAAATTGGCTATAATGATCATTGTTTGATGTTTCTCTGTGGGAATCATCACTGTGCAAACAACAACAACAATAACATTAATAATAATCATCATCATCATCTTCATCACTTTAATTGGCCAAGTATTTTACACACACAAGGAATTTGTCTCCGGTACAGAACCGAGGCAACCATCTGCGATGACAGCGCTGTCCCTGCAAGGCGCTGCTCTGGCCATCGGGAGCAACTTGGGGTTCAATGTCACACCCAAGGACACTTCGATATGTGGACTAGGGAGAACAGGATTCGAACCACTCACCGTAGTTGGTGTGTGTTTATATTTGTGTACATCTGTGAATAACTGAAACTGATTCAGGACTGCACTGAAAATGACTTTAGAATGGCAATAATATTTTGGCTGATATTACATTTTACATACTTACTTCAAATATGACAACTCTGACTTATCAGTGATTGATTAATATAATCAGACCAGTACTGGTCTGATAAACAGAGCACAAGGGTCTCCCCACCCTGCCTGCCTAACTGCCCAGCCCCAGGGTTCCACCTTGGCAGAGTCTGAGCTGTGAGCGTTGGCCAGTGCTGCCAACAGGAAGCCAAATGAAAAACAGATGGAAGGTTACTGGTGTTGCAAAAATGGGGAGGGGTAGCAGAGAGTACAGTAATGTGCTATTTACAGTATCTGTAAGTAGCAGCATTTCTGTGTGTGTGATGGTAGAAGACTCTGGCCTCTATCTGATTTTATGGTTTTATGTTCAGAACCTCCAATTTGTTTTACATTATTTTATCTTTAATGGCATTTTGAGAGCCACTGAAGACGATTCCTATAATCCTTATCATAAAATTCTGTATCATTCCAGATATGAGATACTGTGGGCCATATAAAGTTATACAGTGACAAGAGTAAAAATTCACTTGTTAGGAAAGACAGAACATTTATGCCACCTAGTGGGGAACTAATTAAACTACAAATCAGGAATATTGACTCAAAACACCTGTGCTGACCAATGCAGTTTCATGACAAGAGTTTATTATACAGTACAGCAGATAAACCAGCTTTATAATCTTTAATGGTCCATTTGTTTTGTCTAGTTAGTAAGCTATAATGCTCATGTTACATCATATAAATCACATTGCATCCCAAAAGTTACCATAAATGTGAATCACCACTGCTCTGACACAGTCTTGACAAACTGAAGATGAATGTTTGATTATGAAAGTGGTATCTGCCTGTATTCACTGGAAAAAAGTTAACTTCAGATATATTTGTACATTTGAAATGAAAAGTGAGGATATAGGAGCACTGGACTATACTGCCACCTGGTGGCTACCACTGGATAATACAATATGAATCTGGCACAGTGAGCTTTGACTTTTGGCTGGTAGTAGAAGAGAGTATAATCTAGATGATTTCTTTTGCAGTCACTGACTTTTATGCTCTCATTCTTCCTCTGACAGATGAGAAGCCTTACATCTGCAGTATGTGTGACTTTGTTACCACAGAGTCACATGCTTATCTGACTCATGTTCGCGTCCAACATCCGGCAGGCCTCGAGGATACACCCAGCCCCGTTACCAGCTCCAGCTCTAGCTCAGACAGAGGCACCCCGAGTGGTTATCCCAAGCTGAAGAAAGCTCTTCTTCAGGGAATGAACAACTCTGCATCCTCTCCCGCTTACCTCTCAGCTCGATCCTCTCCACTCGATGCCAGCATGACCCCTGTGGATCTATGTGTGAGGGCCGAGGGCTGCAGAGGCATAGCCTCCTTAAGCCTGGACAGGAAGAGCCTCCCTAGCCACAAGTGCTCCTTCTGCTCCCACTCCACCCGCTACCCCGAGGTTCTCTGGATGCACCAGACAGTGGCTCACCGCATCAACAGCAGTAGCTCCAATCTGGCTCCTAAATGGGCTGTGAAAACCATCTCAAAGGGCTCCAGGAATAGTTCGTTCTCCTCCAGGCGACGCAC